AAGAATCAAATAAATTAGTAAAATACAGTAGAACAAAATTTGGAAAAACAAAACAAAAACCAACTCCCACCCTCCTACCCCAGTGACAGCAGGTCACGCTAGCCATCTGATGGGTTCCATCCCTCTCTGGGTTCCCTAGGCCTGTTGGCACAATCAGGTCTTCTGTGCCTTTTGGAATAGTATTAACGAGAGGGCCATTCTAATCTCTGGGGGAATGATGTTCCAGAGAGATGGAGCCACCACAGAGAAGGCCCTTCTTCTGGGTCCCACCAAGTGTATCTCCCTCAGTGGTGGGACCCGTAGCATTCCCTGCCTCCTCGCTCTAATGGGTCAGGTAGTTGTTACTGGCAAGAGATATTTCCTCAGATAACCTGGACCCAAGCCATGAAGGGCTTTAAAGGTGACAACCAGCACCTTGAATTGCACCTGGAAGCAAATTGGCAGCCAATGCAGCTCCTGCAGGAGAGATGATACATGTGCACACCCGGGTCTGCACAAAACCACGTGGGCCGCTGCATTTTGCACAAACTGAAGCTTCCGGATGCTCTTCAAGGGCAGCCCCATGTAGAGCACGTTGCAATAATCAAGACGGGAAGTGACCAGGGCATGAGTTACTGTGAGTAGGGACCGCTGATCCAGGAAAGGGCGTAACTGGTGCACAACCCGCAGTTGTGCAAAGGCCCTCCTGGCCACAACCACCACCTGCTCTTAGAACAGGAGTCGTGAGTCCAGGAGAATCCCCAGATTACACACAGGGTCTGTTTGGGGTAGTGCCACCCCATTCAAGTCTAAAGGTGGTAATTCTCCCCGAACCAACGAACCCCAGACCCAGAGCCACTTGGTTTTGCAAAGGGTTTAGTTTCAACCCATTGCTCCTCATCCAGCCCCTAACAGCCTCCAGGCATTGCGAGAGGGAGGATACAGCAACTCTTAACTCACCACGGGCCGAGACATACAGCTGAGTATCATCACCATATTGGTGATACCTCAGTCCATGGGGACGGATTATCTCACCCAGCAGTTTCATATCCATGTTGAACAGGAGCGGAGAGAGCCCCGAGCCCTGTGGAACCCCGTAAAGCAGTGGGCGAGGGTTGGATCTCTCCCCTTCTATCAACCCTGACTGAGAGCGGCCGCAGAGGAAGGAAGTGAACCAAGACAGCACAAGGCCTCCCACTCCCATCTCCCGAAGCCATCCCAGGAGAATCCCATGGTCAATGGTATCAAAAGCCGCTGAGAGGTCAAGTAGAGCAAGGAAGGATGCATCCCACTCCCATCCCATCCCACTCCCGCCAGAGATTATCCAAAAGTGCAACCAATGCTGTTTCTGTCCCAAATCCAGGCCTGAATCCTGACTCGCAGGGGTCGAGATAATCCGTGTTATCCAGAAACCTCTGGAGCTGCTGCGCGACCACCTTCTCAACAGCCTTCCCCCAAAAGGGAAGATTGGAGACAGGTTGGAAATTATCCAATCGGGTGGAGTCCAGTGATGGCTTCTTAAGAAGAGGGCGGACCACAGCCTCCTTAAAGTGCTGGAGCACCGTCCCCTCCTGTAGAGAAGCATTAATCACCTCCAGAGTCCACCCGCCTGTCACCTCCTGGGAAGCTTTCACAATCCAGGAGGGACATGGGTCTAAAAGACAGGTGCTCATGCGCATACTCCCTAGGATCCTGTCCACTTCCTCAGGAACAATAGGGTCAAACCGTTCCCAGATAACAGGGCAAGAACCTGTCTCAGAAGCTTCCACCGGATCAGCAACCACGCTGGCATCTAACTGGGAACGAAGTCGAGCGATTTTGTCTTCCAGAAAACCTGCAAATTCCTCAGTGCGCCCTTTCAGGTGGACCTCAATCTCCTCCTTCCCTAAGAGGAGACGGCTCACCTTAAAGATATGATCCCAGGTTGCTTGGATTTAATTAATCCTTGTCTCATGGCCATTCATTCAGCAGCCATTCAAAATTATGGTTCTGAACAAAGGGATTTATGACCCTTGCTTGAAGTTGTGGCCATTGTAGTCTCCCCATCCTATCCTACTGGGTCCCTGTAGGTCTTGGGGCAGCTTTCTACTCCACTGGGTCTTTGCCTCCCCATGACACTTACCTTTTCAGTAGATCTTTGGGAAGCAGCGGCTCCATCGCACAGTCTTCCTACACAATGGAGGCTGTATGGCACCCTCCTGGAAGTGGCACCATTTTGGTAGCATTTGCAATTGTGGGATGAAGTTTGTGCACCCATTCCCAATAATTTATGGTACAGACCTATTGGAAATTAAAGTTCACATTTTGTAAAATAATTTCAGAAATTTGTCTTGGTCTTTCTTTATGCAGGAAATGTGACACCAGCTCACTATGATGAACAGCAGAATTTCTTTGCTCAGATTAAAGGATACAAACGATGTATTCTATTTTCACCAGACCAGTTTGAATGCCTTTATCCTTATCCTGTGCACCATCCATGTGACCGTCAAAGCCAGGTGAGATGACAACTAGCCAAATAGCATTTTTTGTCTAAGACTACAAAGCATAACTTTTAATGCTGGTTTATTATAGAATTTCTATATACTTTTGTTTTCCTCTAACCATCTGCCTGAGGAGGAGTCTGAACCACTATGTCTGTTTTAAAGTTCTTCAAATGATCATACGGTGCACTTAACACAATCATAGAAAGTTAATGTATCAAGAGAAAGAATATGAAATATATTTTTGAAAGACAGTAACAGTGTTAATGACAATACAACAATTGACGAAAGTGATATAAAATACTGATTAGAATGGCTATACATATAAACAAGATATGTATGATAATGTTACTATGTGCACAAGATATATGTACCTAACTGACACACTGTTGAACAGAGAGATGGTTTTATTTGTTTGTTTTTGTTATAAAAATAAAAAACTTTTTCAAAAAAAGAAAGTTAATGTATCATAAGAATATCCTTATCCAGACAACTCAAGCAGTCAACCAAATCTTTATTGAGGTAGGCTGGGAAGTGTTAGCCTCATACAACTTCAGGGCTGTTTGGTGATAAAATAAAAGGGTAATCTAAAGTGTTCACTAGAGATTAGCACTTATTTAATTATCTTGTGAGACAGCTCTGTAGATAACTTCAAAAAGAATTATTTTTAGGTTTCGCATTTCTGTTTCAACTGTTTGTAGACTCCTCCAGACTCACAGAGGGTACTACAGAAAGAGTGAGGCTGGATAAATCCTCTTCATTCTCTCTATAGGTGTTCCATATTAGACCTTCTAACATATTTCTTTGTAAAGTTCTTTGTAAAGTTGGCGGATTAGGAATTGACAATGCCCCAGTTTCCTTCCCAGCAGCTGAAGAGGCTACAATAACAACAAACAACAGTTTCCCATGTGACTTAGTCTTAACTGTACACTTTTAATGCTCAGAAGTAAATGAATTGACTCTGGAAGAAGATGACTGGTCATTTGCTACATGAAGACATTTAGCACCTTGCTTAAAAGGTACAGTTTAGACCAAGGGGTCTTCAAACTTGACAGCTTTAAGACTTGTGGACTTCCAACTCCCAGAATTCCTTCTCCAGTAATGTTAGCTCAGGAATTCTGGGAGTTGGAAGTCCACAAGTCTTAAATTTGACAAATTTGAAGACCCTTGGTTAGAATCAGACCCCAAGCCCCTGCCTGGAATACAAATTAAAGCTGGAGTGGCTCTAAATCATGAGTCCACATCATGTCTTGAATTATACATTTCATCACCCTTAATTGTTAGCTATAATATTTTTGGGTGATGGGATTTGGTCTAGTTCCCAACAATTTGCTTCACCCAAAAATATTTGGAGATACATTGTCTCCAACTTCTTCAAGAACTCTGTCTCCAACAGGACATTAATGATACTAATTCCTGTTGTAGAAGAGTTGGCCAACTTTAGATTCACCCAGTACTTCACCTGCTGGTATTCATTGAAGTCAAAGTTAGTCAAGAGTCAAGCACTGAGGGAAGTAGCTGCAATTTATCCATAGTCTTGGTCACTTGAAATTGCACATAGAGATGAATTAATCAAATCAGGGGAGATGCCCATCACGCTCCAATGTTTCTATCTCAGCCTTCTCTTTGAAGCGCCAAGTGAGATTCACACACCAGGTTTGCATTTAAGCATTCCACCAACCATTCAGAAAGTATGTAATGGATGTGGATGCTGGGCTTTGATATTCTCATGCTTGTTTCAGCATCCTGGTTCCTCAGTAATCAGGGTACTCTGCAATAAAGGAGAGGATATTTGAGGGCAGCTAAATAGACCATCTCTTCCATTTCAACAATCTGCTGGTGAGATCATTGTTAATCTCCAGTTAGCTCTGCAGCTCCTTAGATCCCTCTGTTGGTCTTTCTGAATTGGTTCCCCAACCTGCTGAGTCTAAAAAGCTCCAGCCAATTTACAGTTTACTAGAAAGTTACATTAGCTGTCAGCAGTGCTGATTCATAAACCTTCTGAGCTACTGTCTTGAGCTGAATGTTTGCAGTTTATCTCAGGCATCTCAAGAACGATTTACTTGGTTATTAGACAATAAGACCAGATTTAATCTTGATTTTTATTGGTATAGCAGAATCCTCCCAATCAGTGCCACATAAATACCTGGTAGTTTAAGTGTTCTGTGCTTTTCTTTGGTTGATTACACCTTAAAATAGTAAATACAAATGCTAAGTACAGTTATTTACAATCAACAAAACCAGTAACTAGTGGGAAGTAAGTAGAGTACATTGTCTTGAAGGTGGTGATTTTTATCTCTAGTTCTCTTTTTGTTCAAGTTAGTAAAGAAGTTCATTTCCTTTGAAGTAGCTGGGGTGGGAAGCAGAGGGGAAAATCATTATATTATCTCCAGTGACTTCAGTGATGCCTTCTTCTCTCCTGCTAGGTTGACTTCGACAATCCTGATTACGAGAAGTTTCCTAATTTCCAGAACATAGTTGGCTATGAAACAGTAGTTGGCCCAGGCGATGTGCTTTATATTCCCATGTATTGGTAATACATTTAGGATGAGAATGGGACAGAATGAGCTAGTATGATTCTGCAGCAGAATCATTTTAGGGTACAAAGGGGCTCTGAATCTTGTGCCTTTTACTCTGACTAGGATAGATATGTATTTTTCTGTTTGTAAAGTGCCTCCTGCAGGAATAGCAGTAATCCTTGATACTTGTTCATATGCAGAAATATTAGTTCCTTTTTCTTCTATAAGATTTACATTTGAGACACATCCTTATATGTTCTTATAAACATCTGCTATGACAGTTTTGGGGAAGCAACTGAATGAAGCAATTGTCTAGACCATTATCAGAGTTGTATTTACAGATACAGGTGGTCTTTGTTTAATACCTGCCCTGTTTAGTAACCATTTGAAGTGATAATGGCCCTGAAAAAGTAATGTTACAACTGATCCTTGCACATGTGATTGTTGCATGTTGCAACATCCCCATAGTCATTTGATTGAGATTCAGCCACTTTGCAGCCAGCAAGTAATCATTTGATTTGATCGGATTTTATGACCATTTTTACCATGGTTGTTAAGCGAATCATCATGGTTGCAAATTCAACTTCTGCTATTGACTTTGCATTTTGGAAGCTGGCTGCGACGGTTGCAAATCATGATTGCAAGATGCTGCCTTCACTGCAAAAGCAAGCTGGTTGCTGAGCGCTCAGATTGCAATCATGTGACTGAGAGTGATCATATTTTTTAGGGTGGGTTGCAAGTCACTTTTTTCAAAGCCATTGTAACTTTGGCCGTTGAATGATCACTAAGAAGGAGGACTATCTGAATATTTTCTAATGCGTATACATGTACAAAGGGTTGTTTATTCATTAGATAACTAAGAACAAAAAAGTATAATAAATTATAATTTCTCCCCAAATGAAGAGGAATAAAAGAACTAAATTACAATTTAATTATTATAAAACACGTTTAGTATTTTTGTCAAACTAGTATTGGAAATGTTAAAATCTAACAGTTTTAAATTAGGAGTATTAAAAGAATTACCTTCTGTGGCTTGATATAGGTGGCATCACATTGAGTCCTTGCTGAATGGAGGAATTACCATCACTGTAAATTTTTGGTACAAGGTAGTATATCTAAATTTAATATAGTATAAAGTTTTATAAATAGACTTGTGTTTTAATTGCAAAATTATAATTGCAGTATGATACTGATTATTGCATCATAAAATATCATTTTTCTAGGTTTATTTAAATGATCAAAATTACGTCAGCTGCTAAAATTGGCTTGAATTCTTAGCTTGATTTCTTAAGAGATAACCTTGTAATACTTAAGTTGAAATAGTGAACTCTTCATCCTAGCTCTTTTAGAGAGAAGTGTATCTGTGCCTTCAAGTCAGCGTAGTCTCCTGGTGACTGCCTAGAATAATCCCTGCAGTTTCCTTGGCAAGATTTCAGAACTGGCTTGTTTCTCGCCAAACTGATTTCACCAAACTGATTTCTTTTAGAGAAATAAGCTTTTGTTTTTAAAAAAAATGGTTGGTAGTATTAGAAATAGTATTTTTGACCAGTCACTTGCCTAAACATCTTTTCATATGATACGTGCTATTTAATAGATAAGAAAATACCAACTCACTTTTTCTCATCTCTGACTTTTATTAGCTTCTTGCTTTTTTAGTGCTAGGTGTATGTAAGGTTTTTTTTAAGCACCGTGAATCATTGTAAATCTGTTAGTCTTTTCAGTTTCCTTTTTATCTTACTGGTACCCCAGAACGAGGGATATAAATAATAATGTCCAGATAATCAATGTCTCCATCGGAATCTGTTTTCAATTTCATTTTTGTAAATGTTTCAACTTGATGAACCCTTGTATTTTTCTCCACACAGGGTGCTCCAACTCCTAAGAGGATTGAATACCCCCTAAAGGCTCATCAGAAAGTAGCTGTAATGAGGAACATAGAGAAAATGTTGGGGGAGGCACTTGGAAATCCACAAGAGGTGAAGTATGGATCTCGGACTGGTTATAGTAACCACATGGCTGAGCTTGTTCAGCTTTTGATCTCATAAAATAAAATAATAGCATAACAAATGGAAGATGTTACATATTTAACACCTTAAAATCGGGGGAGATGGAGTAGGATAGAGCAGTATTTTTCAATCTTAGCAACTTTTAAGATGGGTAGATTTCAAATACTAGCATGCTAGGAGAATTCTGGGAGTTGGAAGTCCATACATATTGCCAAAATTGACACTGGGATAGAGCACTCAAAGTGTTAGCAGCAGTTCTCCTGAAGATCCTAGTATTACTCAAGTCTTGTGTTTACTAGACTAGGCATTATAAGTTCAGCATTCTCTGTGTCAAGAACTAAAGTTTTGACTTGGCTTAAACAAGCATAAATTGTAACAGATGCATCATTCAGCATCTAAATTGTGCTTTGGAATAGCTACAACTTTTAGGCTAATTAGGAGAGTGGCTAAAATGAAATTAACCGCCACCTTAATTTTTATGATAAAAATTTTCCTCACTTGTAAAGTGGATTGTTCAAACATTAAATGAATTATGACTTCTGATATTTACATTAGCATATCTTTCTGCACCGCTTGGAATGCAGAATGTAGGAACTTATTGACCATTCAGCAACTGTTTCAGTAGCTCTGGAAAAAGGACTGGTCCTTGAACTTGTAAGCTGTCACAGTGTCTCTGAGATCACAGAATCACAGTTTAGGCATGTGGCAACCAGCATATCTTTATAATGATTACAGCATCCCTCAATCACATGATTGCCATTTCGAGACCTTCATAGCTGGGTTCCAAGAAGCAAAGTCAGTGGGGAAGCTACCAGGAACTGGGAAGTCATGGTTATGTCACACTTAATGACTATGGTGGTACATTCTTAACTACATCTGAAACTGATGTCAGTACTTTACCATAGCCTTGTACCATGTACTTTACCATAGCCTTAGCAATGAGGTTGCTGGTCCCGATTGCAGCCAGTGAGGACAATTTGTTGACCAGTTTTATAAAGTGTGTGTGTGTGTGTGTGTTTGTTTATGGTTCTAGGTATTCACTAAATGTTATCATTGAGGAATACTTTTTGAAAAGATCACTGTTACTTGAGAGAATTGACAGACATTCTCATGAGAGTCCTTAAAATAGTTTGTTTATGATGCTGACATTAAATACTTAACATTTATTTTCTGGTGTATAATGTATAGTTTTGCAGTTTAATATGATTTCTAGTCTGTTGATAAATCTGTAGCTAATGAAGCAACGTGTTTTGTTGTTTTTCCTTTGAGCAGGTGGGCCCCCTGTTGAATATGATGATCAAAGGGCGTTATGACTAATCTTGGACTTCTGCAGGATATTGGAGCCATTTCACCTAAAGGGGGAAGATATTAAGCGCTAATATTGCACACAGCACTTAAAAACAGATGGATTCTTGATCCAGCTCTGATCCGCTCTGCCCACCTAGGGGAATGACTAGAACTCTGAAATGTTCCATTTGTCCCTCCTGCAACTTCACCAAACCTTATAGAATAATTCCTCCTGACTAAGGAAGAACCCATCACCAGTAACTCTTATGTTCTCCAGCTGCCTAGATACAACAATTGGCACCCGGTACTTGATGATATTTATTTGTGATAGCACCTTTGTGATCACCTACATAAGAATTACCCCAGGAACAATTTTGATTTTCCTTCTATATTTCAGTGTTAGGAATCAACACGGATAACTTTCAACTGTAAATCAACTCCTATCTATAATTAGCATATTTTCTTAAAGGCTACCTTCTCTTTGATATTGCAACTTCTTAAACTAAAGCTCGTTGAGGGATCCAGAAATATTAAGGACACAAGAGATGGAGACTTTAAGAGCTTTTAAACCCATTGTGTCATTTTGTCATAAACCATACATTGATTTCTAATTCTATAAAACTAGGTCAAATTGCCTATGTATAGAAATTGACTTTTCCACTCAGGATGTTAATAGAATGGGACAAGCCATAGCGAGTGCCCTTAGTCAATAAAACCTGTGTGTCATATTTTTCACTTAGCCATGCATGGTTATACTTCCTCATTGCACTCTGCCTTCTCTAGGCCAAATTAAGTGCCAGATCAGTTGGTGAAGAGAAGAGAGCAGCAAAGCTTTTTTTTTTTTTTTTATTTCCATTTTGCTCTTTCATATGTCTGGAAAGAGATAGGAATATGGGCTTTGTCATTGTATTTCATTAACCAAGGAATGCAGATTTTAGAGTTTAACTTCTAGATAACAAAGGAAAAGTTTCTTCACAAAGTCCCTTTTCTGTGAGAGTTTAGAAGACCCACCCTGGGTCATTGGGTTTTTTTTTTGAAGATCATTGATATTTTCCAGCAAGATAGATGAAAGTTAGATATTGGGACAACACCTACATAACCAGAGTTTCTGGGATCCTCTGCATTCCTGTTTACTGTGAATTCTATACAGAGCTGAAGAAGAGTCTGAAGCCAGGATTCTTGGCTTTTTTGGGGGTGAAGGTGGAACCTGAAAATGCCATGCAGCTTTGTTACAAGTAAAGCCTTTGATATAGTTTCAAGCCACAAGGAGGCAGCAGAAGACCAGCATTCCTGATGCTATCACAGGAAGAAGGTGGCTTTGAGAGGGCAACATTGGACTTGATGAATAGTAATATCAATAAAATCATTCTGCCTTTGGCTGAAACAAAGCAATTCCTGTGTTTAGTCCTTGATGTGAAATGGCACCCCAGAACGGACCTGTGGGATATTGTGTATTTATGTAGAAAAGCCCAGCGTGTCATTAGAAAGAAGACGAAGGGCAATCTACCCTTCCAATATGTTTTTTCTTTTTGCCAAAGGTGTAAATTTGAAAATGTCTATAAATAGTTGGTTTGGGAAAAGAATACATTGCACTTTAGTAGTGCAAAAGCTTAATTTACAATGCACTGATAAAAGACAGTTTTAGGTACTGTTAACTTTTGTTTTTTTTAAAAAAAATCTTGTGTTTTGATGCCTGCTGTTGGGAAAAATTGTGTCTAGTGTGAAAAAATGTGGGAAATACATAATACCTTCTGAAATGTAGTTCCTAAAATACAGCTGCTGTTGAATTACACAAATACCTGTTCCCCTTCATTCTATATGATACGTATTCCTCATCTTACGGGAAGGGCAGTAATTTGAAATTCGTTTTGAAAATTCAGTTCTCATGATCTTGTGATTTATATGAAGGTTAAAAGATAATAATTGCTACTGGTGACATTTTCCCCTTTAGTGTACTGTATATAATTAGATTAATCAATCAGTCATGAAATTGTCTTGCAGATGAAGTAGTATCTCCTCTGGACACCTATAAGAGCTTGTCCCCTGCCAATACATTTGGATTGATGCTTTCTTTACACACCCTTTGTGTCCCCAGCTATCTGTTCATTTTTGTTTGGGAGTGGTGAGGGGCAGATCCCCACAACGTGTCCTGCTCCACAGAAGAATTTCCAACTACAATATCTTTTTTCTTTCATAACACGAATCCTGCACATACCTTTGCAAAACAAATATTAAGATGCAATTAACAGATTTCCTAAGAACACTTAATAATAGAATTTTGATATTTTAATACGTACTTCTAAAGGGTTAATGTGTAGGAATGTGACTTTTTCATATAAGATGTGACAAGAATTGATAATATTCAGCTGAAATACAGGTTAGTCTTTTTCAAAATCAGTATGTGAAGCTAACTTTCCTTACTGCCTTGTGATGTGAAAAGATCATTATTGCATCAGGCTTTTAAATTGTGCTAGAAACCAACCCATAAGTTATATAGGCTCTCCATCTCAGAAAATTACCCACTTTGTTGCTTTTTACATCTGGAATCATACCTAAGATTGCATTCATGTATTCATTACGTGTATGTATGGGAAGCTTTAAATTCTGACAATATTGAATCTCAGTACATGCTAAAAAATGAGAAATAGAATCATTCCAGTGGACAGATTGAATTTATTATAGGTGATGGGGAAAATTGGCACCGATCAATGACAGAACACATTTATATAACAA